CATAGCGACCCTGTACAGGGTTTCCGAGGGTGTAAATCCTTACGGGAGTAGAAAGCCTCATCTTTCTCCCGCGGAGCGGCTGGTAGTTTCAAACCGCTGACCTTAAGGTTCGCAGCCCGATTCGTAACCACTACGCTACAATTGACAATAATTCTCTATAAAGGTATAATTATAGATGTCAATATTTTTATCTTAAAAGATTATCATTTCAAATGATCAAAATAAGAGATATCTGAAAAATCATACTTAATGGAGAAAAATTTTAAGTATACATTCTGTTGAAAATATTGATATCCAAACAAACAACACTGGACCCACTGCCAATAATTCTGACTTTCTCAATCAAGTGTTGAGAAGTATTGATTTTATTACTGGAAGATACATTAATTCTTAGAAATCATACTGAGGGACTTATGCAATTTAATTTCCATATAAATGTTCTAAAAGTTATATTAAGTACCAAACATAAACAGTAGTGTAGCAAGAAAACAAATCGGCAGAAATAGTTATCAACCAGTAGTAATAATTAAGATCACCATTTCAAAGATTTTCTATACAAAGAATGAAAAAATATTGTTACAGGATTTTACAGCACACAATTGAATTCAACCCTAATTCGTCATTATTATACTCCTTTCTTCTTCAGTATTGGTAGACCCACATTGTCTCCTGTCAATTCATTGTGTTTATTATGTGAACCATCACAAGCAGGAAACATCTTAGAACGCCAACACCTACAATAAGCTGCTTTAGCAAGACATAAATCTTCAATATTTATTTCATTCACCACTTTGGGATTTTCCTTTTGTATTTTAAGATTAATCAAGCTGTCCTTTTGTTGTTTTTTCTTCGGGAGGAATGGACGAATTGCAAGGTAGCCAAGTAGTGCAAGTACACTGAGAAAAGGCAACAGCCGAAGCCATTCTGAAATGGAATGTAAAGAGTTGACTTTTCTTATTTCACTTCCAGTAGAACTGTCGGTGAAGTTTTCCTTTTCTAAACTGTGAGCCTGGCAAACCCGGTAATGCTTTCTGGGACTGGAAGCCGCTTAAGATACGCTGGGAGCTGCACTTTCACAATGCGGGCCATGCTCTCCAGCACCATCCTCGCCAGCGGCGTCTGTTCTCCAGAGCCCCTCCACTCTCCGGCTGTGCTGCTGCCGGTTCCTATATATCTTATAAGTGTCGTTGCAAAAGATTTTTCTCATTCTGTGGGCTCCTTTTTCACTCTCCTGGTAAGTCTTTTGATGCACAAAAGTTTTTAATTTTTAGTATATCCTAAGCATCTATTTTGTCTACTTTTGTTTGTGTAGTTTTCAAAATGTTTGGTAGTCTGTATGCCCTGTAATTTTGCTCCATGTATTATAAGGCTCTGTTGTTAGGTGCATCTATATATTTAATTATTATGTATTCCTAATGGATTGACATTTTTATCATGTCATAAAATATTCTTCTTTGTCTCTAGTAACTTTTTTTTTTTTGCTTTAAAATCTGTTTTGCCTAATATCAGTATAGTCATTTCAACTTTTTTGTTACAGTTTGCATACAAAATCTTTTCCCATCCTTTCATTTTCAACCTATTTGTGTGTTTGAATCTAAAGTATGTCTTTTGTTGATGACTACAGATGGATCATACTTTTTTTTTCATTCTTCCAATCTCTGCCTTTAAAAACATATATATGTCTTTTTATTGGAGTGTTTAGACAATGTACATTTAGTGTAATTACAGATCAAGCTAGATTTATGTCTTCCACTTGCTATTTTCTTTTATATATTTTTAAAATCTATTCCTTTATGATTACTATCTTCTTTTGTGTTAGATAGATATTTTCTAGTATTTTATTTTAATCCCCTTGTTGATTCTCTTACTATATTTTTGTAATTTTTGTTGTTGCTTTTGCTTTGGGGACTGTAATTAATATTTTAGCTTAATTAAAATTTTAAT